GGGGAACTGTGCTAGCTCTCTGATCATTTAAGTTGCCTTCTTTAGTTTCTTTTCCAGTTTCACAATCTCCAAAACCATAGATGGTTTTTCATGTACAATCTCACCATAGATTTATATAAGGTATTCATATATTGGCTGTTTTATTTTTCAATTCCTTATCAGGAAAAGAAAAGCTAAGTTATCCAGCTTAGCACACAGCCCCTGAAATAGGCATTTGCTTGGGTGTGTTTATCAAGAAGATGATATGGTGGCCATGACTGAAGCTGCCATCTTGACTTTCTTGACACTCACACTGTGGAACACCCTTGGCCCTTGTAGTTATTTGTTCCAAAAGGGCAGGGCCGGATCATTGGAGGGAGAACTGAGTTCCAAATGTGTGTGAGTGTATAAGTAGTGGAGCAAACTCAAGTTGCAGTTCATCTTTTCTATTTTTATTCTTCGTTGGCCTTGGGTTTTTTTCTTTTTCTTATGCATATTGTATTTTATTTTGTCTGTTATGTTGTGAGCTGCCCAGAGTCATTCTGGAGTGGGGCAGCACCTAAATTGAATAAATGATAATAATTCTAACTTTCTTCCGAAAGGTCAGAATCTCCCGATATTATGTCCCCTCTTTTTTTGACCTCAGCTCAAGTTGGGAGGAATGCAGCTGTTTTTAAAAAAACATTTAATCAAGTCCTCGATCTATTTAAATGCACATACACTTGACTGGATATCCAGACATAGACCCACCACTTGAATGATGCTGTGCATAATGGGACATTAAAAATATTTCACACATTTTTGTCAGGACGTAGGTTCTGCATGAAGTAGTGGAGAATAATAGATTTGGGATGCAAATATGCAACCAGCTGGTACAAAAATAAGAGAATGGGGGGCTTACTTGAAATTTCCAGCTCTGAAGTAACCTCTATCTTTTTCAGGACAATTTTGAGTATTGAAGCCATTGTTAGGTATTGTGGAGTCCTTGGGGTTCTTTGAGCTTGGTTGTTTTCTTGCAAGCATTTCCATTCAAGCCCAGATGTTGTTACTGGGCGGGGTAACGAAACGTTTGCAAGAAAACACCC